GAAAAAACAAACAAAGCCAGCTGTTATGGCTGTCCCCGTGTGGACACCACACTGGGGCTGATATTTTGGTGTAAAACATTAGCAAAAAGGATTTTAGTATCTATTGTTACTGTATTTTTGTGTATGTGACTGTATATAGTGTGGGCATATGTGTGTATTCCTAGGTATGTTAATTGGTGTGTATGCAACTCTGTGGGAGTGTGTACAATGGGGTGTCACAGCCAGAGGGCAACACTGAGTATCTTCCTCCTTCACACTCCACCTTATATTAAAAATAATTTAAATGTGTTCCGTGGCACATGTGTGGAGGTCAGAGGACAACTCTGTGAAGTTGTTTTTCTCCCTTATCTGTGTATGGCTTCTGGGGCTCTAACTCGGGTTATCAGGCTTGCATCTTAGGGCGGCCAGCACCTTCACCTGAACCTGGAGCTTGCTATTCAGCTTGGCTGACCAGTGAGCCCCAGGGATCCTCCTGTCTCTGCCCTCTCAGCCTTGGGATTTTAAGTGTGTGCCTTTTGCTGTGCCTAGCTTTCTATTCTTTATTTTTTCTTTCTATTCTTTTTTTTTAAGTGCTGAGAATCTGTTCTTAATGCTTGTAAGGTAATGTTTTAGCTAGCTGAACCATCACTTAACTCCTAATTCCTATTCCCAATTACAGTTTCTCCCAGTATTAAGAAAGTTAAAGATGCAACCAAGTGATGGTGGCACAGGGCTATAATCCCAGCGGATCTCTGAGTTTGAGGCCAGCCTGGTCTCCAGAGCGAGTGCAAGGATAGGCTCCAAAGCTACACAGAGAAACCCTGTCTTGAAAAACCAAGAAAAAAAAAAGATAAAATAAAGTTAAAGGCGTGTAGGTACCTGAACCAATAGAGAAAGTAGTTTCCTACTTTCACCCTTACATGGAGGATGGGCAGCTGTGCCTACCGGGCTTTCCCTGATGGCCTCTCTTTGCCTTTCTCAGTAAGTCTGTTAAAAAGCCCAGGTTCCAAGGAGCCTAGAAATGCTGTCTTTGCTAACCAAAGTTTTGGTACATTGTCAGGTTTTTGCTTAAATTAGAAATAAAGGAGTGCAAGATGAGACATGAGTCTAAGAGACATTGTAACCAGTTTATTATATCATGGAGAGCGAGTGAGAGAGAAATAGAAGAGAGAAGAGGCGGAGAGAGAAGAGAAGCAAAGAGAACAGAGGGAAGAGAGCCTACGTGGGCAGGGTCTGTCTCTTAAAGGGGTCCTCTACACCTGTGTGCAGACTTAGTTTCCATGGAACCCTGGGCTGACCAGGGCACTGCCTGAGTGGATCCTGCCAGGTAATAGGGGCAGGCCAGTATAATGCCTGAACCTTTCAAAGTAGAAAGTGGAGAAAACACTGGCAACCCAGAGAATTTACTGCATATGCCCTGTGTATTTGCTGGTGTAGTGTACTGCAGCCAGGCAGCAGGCCATGACCTGAACTAGGTGACAGGAAGAGGTGTGGACTGGGTACCCCTGTGGCTTCTCTGGGTCTTTTGAGAGGAGGCTATACAAGATCCAACTATACTCATAACAACTCTAACGTGTTATTGGCTTTCTTGAGTTTTGTTCTTTCCTGTTCATACAGTATCTTCGGGAGCTACATGACATGGCTTTGTCTGGTGGTTGAAACTTCAATACCCTCTTCATGGAGGAGAGGAAGGCAGGGGATGTAGGCACTTTGGTGGGGGGGGGGGATCCGTGATTCTCAGGGGGCATGATCAGGGATGGAGTCCGTACAGCACTCCTCTGGATTCTGGTTTAGTTTTAATTCCCGTCCTCTCTGACAGAGTTAGATTTTTCTTGGGTAATGAAATTTCATCCAGATGACTAAAGGCAGTTATAGTCACCCGACCCCCTGTTCTGTCCCCTGAGGGAATTCGGTAGAAGCCTCTCGCTGTGCTTAGGAGAAGGAGTAGGGGAGAACCAAGGCAAGGGGAAGGCTGGAGACTGCAGTCTGCTACGCCTGCTTCAGCTGGGCACATCACAGCACCACATCTGGGGGTGTCATTATCTGAGTCCTGACACACTTCCTGAAGTGCTGAGCCTGGCTTTAGTTTATCTGTATCCCTTATGTGAAACTAAGTTCTAGGTTCTCTTGGTTGCTACATTGTTTGCCTTCTTTACTCAGACTTGGCTTGGATTTATTGAAAGTGATTGGCAGTAGGTTACACACCTTGCTCTGCCCAAAGCTACTCTTTCAGTGTTCACCACCTTTAGTCAGTCTTTGTAGGAATGCTGTCTGTCACCTGCTAGCTTGTGGGCAGGTACCAGCGCACAGTGTCAGTCTGTGTTTCATTTGTCTAAATTTGCCTGTTGTTTGTGAAACCACTTTTAATTTTCTTAGGCAAGATACAATTTTACAATCGAAATTGAATCCGACCTCAGTATTTAAATAGCAGCTGTGGAGGGAAGGCCAACAGTTACAAATGGCTCTTTGCCTTCCTTTGAAAGGGAGCCTTTCTGTGGGGAAATGCCTTGCCTGGCCACCCTGGGCTAATTTACATGGAAAAAGGGAAACACAGGATTCATTTGAATTTGGTGCATAAATTATATCCTTGCCAGACAAATGTGAAGGGACAAATTTCAGCATTTCTCAGACAGGACATTCTTACCACAAGTTAGTTAATATAATGAATATGGCCCAGTCACCGCCATCTGGTCAGAAGTGGATATTTTTTTGGTTGTTTTTTTTTTTTTTTTTCTGTAGCATTTACCGATTTACTTGAGACTCACTTTGATAGACACTGGGTTAGTCAGAGGTAGATGGCCTTCCTGTTGTAAATCAGCAGGAGAATCCACATTGGTCTGGACCTCAATCCTGGAGAAGACCCTGCCAGTTTGTATTCTTTACCGAGGCTTCACCGGGGCAACATAAACTCTCTGAAAGACTATTTAAGCTTTACAATTATGTTCCTGTTGCCACCAAGTAGAAAATAAGAGCAAATGCGTGGTTTTATGCTGCGCTCATGCCTGTGCTGTAAGGTTTGTTTCTTTTGGGATCTCAGTTCTGCACAGCATCCTCTTGTGACTAAGGAATGATTTGTTCCTTTTCCATGAGGAGCAGCTCCCTGTTTTGCTAGGGTTGACTTGACTCTGAGCTCTGCATCCTGGGGGAGAATCTACCTCTAAGTCTCAAGGTTCAGCATTACTCCCTGACTCATCCTTCACATTGCCATGGTGCTTCCTTACAGTGACATCTTTCAGACACCCGGAGACTTTCCAGATATGTTTGAGGCCCGGAGAGTTTCACAGGTGTTGTTAGCAAGGACATTTGACTCTATTGATTTGCATGGCTTTATAGGTCAAGAGAACAGGGAACCATTTTTTTTCAGGTTGCTGCAGGCCTCTTACAGGACAGGAAATGCTAATTTTATTTGATCCTAGGAGAACATAGAAATGCCTTTGCTAGTTCAGGTACCCAGCTCTAGCTAGGGAGCCGGGACCACTGAGGAATGCCTGTGCAGGCTGCTGCAGGTGAAATGACCTCGGAGGAAACTACCAGGCCTGCTACTCTGTCCTGCCTGGGCGCCTCCCTCCTTCCATCCCTCCCTCCCTCCCCCTCTCCCTCTCCCTCTCCTCCTTCCCCTCCCTGTGTCATCCTCCCTTTCTTCTTCTCTTCTCCTTTTTTTTCTTCCTCTGTAGACCAGCCTGGTCTTGAACTCACAGAGCCACCTGCTTCAGCCTCACAAGTTCTTATAGTATCAATTCCTATTAAACTCTTAACATGTTCAGTGTCTGGTGAAGGCAGAAAGAAGACGAGCAGGGGGTGATGGGATATGAGAAAGTGTGGCAGAGCTGGGAAGAGACCAATCAGAGAACAAGGCAGGATCCAGGCGAGGGAGCAGCTGCAGGACAAGGAGCCTGGAGAGAGGAGCGCACGCTGGGTTTTTAATTTGGGCACTTTTCTTTTAAATCATATTTTAGCTAACATCACTATCCCTGGGATTACAATGAATAGAAGCAAATACTCCTAGCCCTCTCAGAACTGCCTTTGAGCTTCCAGTCTGCCTTAGCCGGGAGAGTCTGAGCTGCCAGCCATCCACTCTGGCTTTCACGTCTCCCGTGTTCCCAGAGGTTGTTCTCATGAGGTCTCTGCCTAAAACATTGTCACAGCACCAGGTGCCTCTGATAAATTTTATCAGATAGGCAGAGGAAGAGTAACAGTTGTGCTAAGCACACATGTTCCGGATTCAAAGACTTATGTGCCTCCAAGAGAGTCAGCTAAGCATTCCCCAAACTGACACGGCACAGCTGAGATGACTCAGGCTCAAGCTTTGTGGCAGCATTATTAATTTCTAGGGTGCTTAAAATTAAGACAAGTTTTAAAATTAATTTATTTTTTGAGATAGGGTCTCAAAAAATGTTTTTTTCTGGTTGTCCTGGAGCTTTCTATGAAGACTAAGCCATACTCAAATGCACAGAGACTCACCTGCCTCTGCCTCCCCAGTGCTGGGATTAAAGTGTTCACTACCACACCTGGCCTAGGAGATTTTAGATGCCTACTATGAAATTTTAAAATGCTAAAAAAATTTAAATTAGATTTACTTATTTGGTGCATGTGCTTGCACACGCCTGACACATGCGTGGACGTCAGAGATCAATTTATGGCAGTCACACTCTCCCACCATGTGGGGTCCATGACTTGAACTCAGGTCCTCAGGCTTTGTAGCCAGTGTTTTTACCCACTGAACTATCTCCACAGTTTCTAATTGTTTCCCTTGAAGGAGTCTGGGGCAACCCACTGGGGATCCTCTGTGTTGCCACGAGCCGTTATTCCACTCTTTGATAAAACCTTGCTTTCCTTCGCTGCAAAAGAACCTGCTTACCCATATAGTGTGCTATTACTACCACAAATGCACAGACCTTCAGCTAGACACACAGCTCTGTAATTGTGAGGGAGTCTGCATGTGCTTGGGATAATTTTATGTCTGGGTTTTGGACATTTGAAACTTCTGGTATGAGGTGATGTGCTTGACATTTCAAGGCTGGTTGGCCTGAGCCGATGGAAGTTTATTATGAAAACATGGGGAAGGGAAGGAAGACAGAAGCCAGCTTTGGTCACACTGCCTGGGCCTCATGGCTACAGCACTGTGTGTGAGTAGCGAGACCGGTCCTGTGGATGCCACAGCAACCATTAAAACTGCTCCCGCAGAGATGACTCGCCACTGCTTTGAACTCTGAGACACAGTCATCTTTCCACCTATTTGAGTTGATGTCCTATCACAAAAAAGCGAGTGTTAACTTTCCGTGCGGGAGGCATGACCAAATATCTATTCGGGCCAGATGGTGCACCAAAGATAGACAAAGAAATGATCCCACCCAAGCCCAGCACAGTTCACCGATGAGTTCAGCAGGTTTGCTGTTGGGAGCATGGCTGACCCCCAAACATCTGCACCACCACCAAGTCCCCCTCTGGCATGTGTGGTGAGTTCTGCAAGGCTGCATCTGCATTGACTCCCCCCCCTCCCCCCGTAGTTACCCTTCCAGCTGCCAGCACCTCCCAACATCACATACAGCAGAGGCTGAGGTATACACAGTGAGGGTGCAGCAGGGAGCGCTGGGTCTCAGCTGCGGGTGCAGTGCACTTCCTCATCCATTCCAGGAGGGAACATCCACAATCCTCAGGGATGGGGTTCTTGTAGGTCATCATGGCAGCTGTGACTAAGATGGCGAAGGCTGCCCTCCTTAGATGATGGCACGCCACACACAGCCAGCCACGCGATTGTGTTCTGCACAGGTTCCAATAATACCGAACTGTACACATTTGCATCATACACAAAAGAATTAAGGATAGAGAAGTAAACATAGCATAAATACTTTTTTTTTCTAGTATTTTCTTTGATAGTCCCCCAGAATGCGCACCTTTTTGAGAGCCTTCTGTCACAGTGTTTGCTGTCATTATGACTCAACTGTTTTTGCTGCTTGGGTGATGTCAGCTGGCTGCGTGATCATGGGCAGATAGCCTCATTTAACTCACTTCTAAAGTGAGGTAATTATGTGTGTTTTGTAGAACTGCTTTGGAGATTGAACTCAACAAGATGTTTAAAGCTCTTAGGGTAATGGCTGGCCTGCTGGCTGTCCCCCCTCAGGTGTGAACTGCTTTCTGTTCTCCTCAACCTCCCTCCTGCTCATGTAAGGTGTCTACTTTCTGCTCTTCTGCCCCGGGGCTTGGCTTACTGCCCTGTTTCTGCCGGCTGTCTTCTGAGCTCTCTTGTGTAGACAGAGCATCCAGTTAAGTTTATTGGTTGTGTCTGTCTATCCCATTTCCCTGGAACAATCCTGACTTGGACCGTGGTCGCAGTGCAGTTGGCATAGCTCTTTCATGTTGTCAAGGATGTAGTTTTGGAAACAAAGGTTATCCTTCGTAAGACCACCATGGGCCCGTGTGAGAAGGTGGACTCCTTGTGTGACGACTCTCTCCCTCCTTGGCACTGCATGCCTAGAGCAACCGTCTGCAGATGACACAGTGACAAGTGACGTATTGACTGCAGGAAATGATGGGACGATAGGGTCGGCGAGCATGGCTCAGAGGGATTTCCAGCTCTGCCATCCAGGGACACAGAGCCCACACTTTAGATGAGGCCTGGGCAGTTGGATCCTATAACCAGGGTGACTGTCTATACAGATGCAAGAGTGAAAGGCAAGAATGTTTCAAACATTGAAACATGTTTAGCTTGGAAATCTAAGTCTCTGACCTGAAGCTCAAATTCATGATCAATTTTTTCCTGATTCGAGAAAATCTTCTCCTAATTCGGGAGCGCTGACACACCAGACCCTACCCAGTGTTGACAGCAGTAGTTAGAAATAGGTCTTGCCAAATGGGGAACCTGCCTAAGACCGAACTAGATTTCCTTTATATAGGTGACAATGTTGCGAATGGGACAATATATGAGGCCACTGGCAGAGGGTCCAAGATCTAACACTAATGCACAGACTGACTTAGGTGAGCCCATTCTATATGGAGAGATGCCTTGCCCAGCCTAGACACAGGGGTGTGGGGGGTGGAGAGGTGCCTTGGTCCTGCCTCAATGAGATGATGGGACAGACTTAGTAGACTTCCTAGGGGAGGCCTCACTCTCTCCATGGAGCAGGTGGGAGGAGGGGGGAGTGCAGGGCTTGAGAGGAAAGGAGGGAGGGGGAACTGGGATTGGAATGTAAAAAATTAATTAAAAAATGAACAAAAAATAGACTAAGATTAAAAGGTAGAAAGTAGAAAAAAAAAAAAAGAAATAGGTCTTGCTCTGTAAGAGGCTGGAGAGCAGTGGTTCTCAACCTTCCTAATGCTGTGACCCTCCAATCCAGTTCTTCATGTTGCAGTGACCCCCAACCGTCAAATCATTTTCATTGCCACTTTGTAGCTGTAACTTTGCTATTGTTAGGAATCATAGTGTAATATTTTCTTTTGGAGATAGAAGTTTGCCAAAGAGGTTGTGACCCACAGTTTGAGAACAACTGTGTGTGTGAGTGTGTGTGTGTGTGTGTGTGTGTGTGTGTGTGTGTGTGAGAGAGAGAGAGAGAGAGAGAGAGAGAGAGAGAGAGAGAGAGAGACAGAGAGAGACAGAGAGAGACAGAGACAGAGACAGAGACAGAGAGAGACAGGAATCATTTCTTATTCTCATGGTGTCTCACCTAAGTCTATTGTTCTTCACGTGGTGAATTTTCTGTTTTTCTCCACTTTTCATCCCTTTGGACACCAAGTCGATACTGAATAGCGGATGTAAAGATCCCGTGACAGTGCTGGGGAAATTCCATGTGATTCATGAGTTATGACATCATGCTGAGGCAGATAACTTAAAATTACTCTTTTCTTTATGAAGTCGTAGAAGACAAGGCTGTAATTAAAAATAGAGCATTAATGCTTTTGATATTTTCCTCAAAATGCTTATCATGACGTGTGCATGATCCATGTGGGCACACGCATGCCAGTTGACTCTCTCCTTCCCGTGCTGCTTCTGGGGATCAGGCTCTCGCTGCAAACTCCTTTTCCCCCTGCACCCTTCCTTATACATTAATTTTAATTAACACTCAACATGATGACTCTCATTATGACAGTCTTATGGATGAATATCATATTCTGGTTATATTCAGCTCCTCGCATGTTTATTTTGTCTTTTGAGATGGTCTCACAGTGTAGCAGGCTGACCTCAAACTAAGGGTCCTCCTTCATCAGCCGTTTGAGTGCTGGGGTTATAGCGTGTGCCACTAGACTGGCAGGTGTTTGGTTTTAGTACTACTTTCAGGACATTAGCCAGAATTGTTACCATTGAGAAAAAGAAAAAAGCCCACCCAAACAATTAGATGTTAGTCCTAGCATTATTATTATTATTATTATTATTATTATTATTATTATTATTTTGAGGTTTATTATTATTTTGAGGTAGCAAGACTTTAATTTCGAATGTGAATGTACTGTTTGGTTGTGCTGTTCATGCCTGCAACACTCTTAACTCAGGGAAAGCAAGAGTTCCTGTGTTCTCAAGATTCAGGAGCAGATCTAAGGCTGTGCTTGTAGCTCAGTGGTAGAGTGCTTGCCCAACACTCAAAAGGTCCTGGGTTCAGTTCCCAGCACTGCAGGAAAAGAATGAGGACCAGGGGAGAGATGCTCTATAATTAATGTCTTGGTGTCCCTTTGCTTGCTCAGAAGGAAACACAGCAATTGGAACTCATTAGAGGAGTTTGACGGTCTCGACTGAAAAGCCACCAAGTTTGGCTTCTCAGCAGCACCTGGCATTGTCCGTCATGGAATGAGCAGGGGCTTTCCCCTAGTCTCTAAGGTCTAGAGCTTTGTGGGTAATAATCTGAGTGACTGTGGCTTTGGACCACTGTCCATTTTCAGCTCTCACTTGAGCATTTAAAGTCAGTGCTAACCAATGGTAAGTCCACTTTGTGTAGCTCCCCTGTGGATTTCACCGCCACACTGCAGTGCAAACATTTAATAGAGGGTCTAGGAGCTGGCTCAGGGGGTAGAGTGCTTGCTGTGTGAGTGTGAGGGCCCGAGTTCAATCCCTCGGGCATGGTGTGTGCATGCGATTCTGTTGAAATGGAGACAGGTGATCCTGTGGAGACTGACGACCAGCTGAATTGGCAAACCCCAGGACAGTGTCTCGAAACCAAAGTGTATAATGATTGTGACACCCCAGGTTGGCCCCCACATGCCTGCACACACATGCATCCGCACACGCATAGACGGTTTCAACGGTGTCTTGGCTGGTGGACTCCGAGGTTTGCCTGAGTTTTTCATTTGTTCCATCATATATGTTTCATGGTCCCCAGGAACTCAAAAGCCAAATAAGCTTCTTGGTCTCCCCAGCATTGTGTCACTGCTGAGGAGTGTGGGCTCCTGGGAGGAAGCTTGTTCAGATACTAGGGGTGGTCATGGCATCTGTAAGTGTGAAAGCAGGGTCTGTCTCACGTGAGAAATGGGACACCCAGTGGACAGTTCTGCAGACAGCTGGGGAGCCACAATCCTGAGGCTTTCCTGACAAGCTGGGTGAGAGGCACCTTCCTGAAGTTTAGGTGGGAATGACTGTCACCCAGAGAGGTAATTCCTGTGTAGTCATTTCCGAAGATTAAGAACACTTGCTCTGGCTGGAAGGACCTGTATTGGTAGAAGGTTAGTAGGCCTGCTGAAGACCCGTGGAAGGAGTGAGTCATGTTGAGAGAGCCTGTTGAAGAATAATAACTAAAAAAAAAAGTTAATGAAAGATTAGTATGAGGGAGGATACCCAACACGGGTCACTCAACAAAAGGCAAAGGGGGGTGAGTTAGAATCGGATGCAAGAGGAAATATTAAAGCCAGTGTTGGAAGAGATGGGCCCGGTGGTGGTAGAGCGGGATTGGAGTGGGATGGTGTGAGAGGTGGAGGTGAGTTAAGCAGAGACTTTACTTGTCCTGTGACAGTTAGCAAACAGAGAATGGAGCCTAAAGACAAAACAAGGGACCTCCATGGACCTGAGTAGAATTTATAGCATTTGCATGCACATTGTGAAGGCACAAAGATGATGAGGGTTGACTCCATCAGGTTACTAATATTTCTGAAGTCTAGGAGTGTGGTAGATTATGGCTTTTTTTTTTTTCATTGAGACCTTGTTGGAATGGATTAACTACTTTGGAAAAATGATAATCTCTCTAGTGAGGAACCTGGAACATCAGGGGTCACAGTCATAGCAGGTCACACAAAGTCTTAGGGGCTCATGGCACATACAGAGCTCTGGGCTGGCAGCAGTGTGATATGTTATTAAGAGCAAGGAGACACGGAGGAAGAGGAAGAGGAGGAGGAGGGAGGGTTGAGGGGTAGGAGAGAAGAGAAGAGTAATAAGAACAGTGGGGAAGGAAGCGAGCAGGCAAGTCTAACGAATTACTTTCCTTTCTAATTTTAAGTGCCTGCTTCTGTGTATAACCGAGAGCTTCAGATAAAACAAAGTGTCCTTGTGTGGTGCTTAAGATTGTCCCTCAGACCGCTTGGCCCTAGCTGCTGATTGCTGCTTTGATTTACCTGGGTATTTAGCAAGGTGTGTTTCTGGGAGTTTGAAAGGGAAGCTGGGGGTGTCTTTTGCTTACTACGATACTCATTTTCATGTAACCACTCAGAGAATTAGAGCAAAATTAATTAGGAAGCTAAACAAAATAATGTTCCCCAACACACACACACACAAATCCACACACACACACACACACACACACACACACACACACATGCAAGCTTGAGCTCTTGGAGAGAAGGCAAATTTATACAGCAATGCACAATTTTGCCACACCCAGTTTTGGGTCACTTTGTGGACACCGAGTTTCTCTCATGTATGTGCATTTAACTGAGGAGCATAAATTAGCTGTGAATGACCCCAGTGTGGTAAGTGACCAAGCGTGGGGGTCTGCCAAGCCAAGTCTGTGAATCTCTTGGCAAGCTAGGGACAACACAACTGGCTGGGTGATACCACCCACAGACAAGAACCCTCAGGAGTTGTCAGGACTGTTTCCACAGAGGCACCTACTATGCCATGACCCAGAGCAATGCAGGGAGCAGTTTCCAGCTTCCAGGAGGCAAATTACCAGGGTGGTCTTCGCTTATTTCTTGTGCAAAGGCACAGGGGCTTCCTGGGCCCCAAGGAGAACACTGCTGCTCTCTGAAAGTGGGATTCAGGGAGAGAATGTGCTCGTTTGAATGCACAGTGCAAGCAGGCTGCAGAGAAACGGCTCTGGGAGCCATGGCAGAGCATCCCCTGCTTGGGTGCACTGTGCGTATGTGTGTGTGCGTGTGTAATGTATGCATACAAGTATGCGTGTGTGCAAAATGTGTATTGTGCACAGTGTGTGTTTGCATGCATGTACACTCTGTTTGTGTGTGTGCACAGTAGGTGTGCATATGTATGTGCACAGTATGTTTGTCAGTGTGTATGCATATAGTGTATGTGCTGTGGGAACCTTGCATTTTGAGCTTTTTTAATCCACTTGGAGTCCCCTGTTTAGATTCTTTGGGGTTAATCAGAAATTTAATGTGCTGTTTATGAATTTGGGGTGCACATCATCTAGTTAGGGAGTTAAGAGTCAACGTAGAAAATAAAGACCAACAGGATGGTTTGTATCTGTAGATGGATAGTATATATGACAGGGGACCAAGAAAGGGATTCCTGTGTGGTCATGTAGTCAGGGAAGCCTCCTGGAAGAGTAGAAATTAGGTTTGTGAAATAAGTTCTTTCTCATTCTCTGTCTCTGTCTCTCTCTCTCCCAACTTTCTGGAGACAGTGTCTCACGCCGTATCTCAGGCTGACTTTGAACTCACTGTGTAATGCAGGCTGGACTCAAATGCATGACCATCCTCTTGCCTCAGCTTCCCAAGGGCTGGGATCACAGGTGTGTGTCATCATGGCCAGCTGGAGTTAAACTTTAATGGAAATGTCAGTTATTGAACATTTGCGGTCTTTGTGTCTAGAAACTGGATTCAGATTTGGGTTGAGTGAGACCTCTGGGAAGCTGTGGACACTCTCTGTTAATTGTGTTCCTGGGAAACAGTCCACCCACCCTTTCTTTTTCTCTCTGAAATGACATGTTCTTGTGTGTACACGGATGTACAGGTGCTCAAGTCTGTTTGTGCACATGTAGAGACCAGAGCCAGATATGGGATGCCTTTCTCTAACTCCTCATTATTTCCTTGAGACAAGCTCTCTCCCCAACCGGAAATTCCCGCTGCCTCAGCTTGGTTAGCAGCCCAGCAAGCTCTCTGGATGCTGCTTTCTCACTGCCCATGCCGGTTACAGGCTTGTGCAGCCATGACCAGCTTTCATGTGGGGGTGGGGTTTGAACTCAGGTCTTCATGAGTGCACATCAGGCGACTCACTTTCCCAGATCCCCAAATGAATTGTTCTAAAATTTTGCTTTTTTTTTTTTTTTCCAGTTTGATCCCCCTATAGACTTCTGTAATTGAGGAATTGGTGCTTCCAGGATGGCGCCAAAGAGCCCTTCTTCAAACAATGGAAGTCAGCCCCCTTGCTAGCAATTTTTCTAACAAGCTGACTGTTGGATTTGCAGTTTAGAAAATGAATCTGTAGCTTCTACTAGATTATCAGCCCCAGGATTCAGATAAACAAACTTTCCAGCTCAAGGTGGGGCGGCTTTCCTCTTCTGTCTGGAATCAGTCACACAGAAGGGGAACGTGGCATCTAACCATTAGGGGCCCCGACTCTCAGCTGAGCAGCTACTGCTCCAGGAGATCACACCTGCTCTCTGCCTGTGTTTGTTCAGGGATAAAAGGAGAGAAGCCCAGGGGCTCCTGTGTTTTCATCCAGCAGCCTAGGGCCTGCGGTTTCTCATTCTCCACGAATGAGCCTGCTGGTGC